GTTAGTCTTTTTGTCTGTGAAATCCATATAAATATTCAAGGGTAACTAAAGCATTGAATAGAGATGGGTAATTTTTAGTGCCTGAAAGGGTTACTTGTAAGCTGTCCAGTAGAATTGATACACATAGTAAAAGGGTCATGTTTGTGACATAATTGACAACTTCCTTCTCACTGCTGAAGACATGACATAACCAAAAACATGCTAGTTGGCAAAGAGGGTTGCACTAACTAATACAGATTCTGAGACGATCATCAACAAGATAGTGATAATAGATCTTCGAACTGCTTGTGCATTCCTTGCTCCAAGTACATTTGAAATTCTATTACTGTCTCCACCAAAGGAAAACGAAAAAGAAGATTGATTACCTAAATTTATGAAGATATAGATGTGCATTCTATTAGTTATAGACACATATAAATTCATGTGTATGTATGTATATAATCTTTTGAGCCTACCTTGCTGTTGCTCCTAGTCCTTCTGGTATATGACAGAGGGTTGATGTGGTTGCTAAACTGGTAAAACAATAGGAATTCCAAATGTTGTATTTCATTTGGTAAACAACATTCGTAGAGCACAAAAGGCTAGAAAAAAAATTTCTGAGGTAATTCAATTCGAAGCAGTAATAAAGAAGACGTACCACACAGATAGAACTGAAGTTCCAAGCTTTGGGCTTGGTAAGAGACCAAATAGCATTGTGAGCAACTCAAATGACCACCACTTAAGGCTGAAAATGAAAATGGAAATCAAAGAAAATAATCTCTCAAGAAATTAGTCAGAAGAGCTCCAATAACTACTGGAAAGATAAAAGAACAGAAATTACCAAATCATAAAAGTAGAAGGGATGGCAAAATGGAAGAAATCTTGAATTCCCTTGAATAGATCCATGGTTATTGGAACCTGAGTTTTCTCATAGTTACTTGAGTACTTCAAGTATAACACTAGGCAGAGCACATTTAACCAATATGAAATACTGATTGCTAATGCTGCTCCACAGTTTCCTAGTCCAAACTTGAACAATACTTCAGGTATAATACTAGGTAGAGCACATTTAACCAATATGAAATATTGATTGCTAATGCTGCTCCACCGTTTCCTAGTCCAAACTTGAACAAAAAGTGGAACAAGAGCTTACAAGCATGGGCATGATCAACTGTGAAAATTGTGCATGTGAACTTAATATAAGGCTTGCATCCAACCTAAAACCAATTGGCAAAAGGTAGAGTGGCTTTCCTTGTATTTAACCTATAAGCTTCTTACTTTTGTACTTGATGTGAGATTTTCCCACTTAACACGCTTCCTCACATGCAAGCCCACTATGAATGTTGTATCCTATCACGTGGCTTAATATGTCCCCTTACTTGCAGGCCTAGTATCAACTTCGAGTCTTGTCAGGTGGATTAACAATGGACTTCCCAAAGTTGATATCGGGCTTGTATGTAAAGGGGCATGTTAAGCCATGTGATAGGATCCGACATTCATAGTGGTTCTACACATGATAGGGTGTGTTGAGTGGGAAAATCCAACATCGAGTATAAAAGTAAAAAGTTTGTGGGTTAAATATAAGGAAGGCCACTCCATCTATCGCCAATTGGTTTAAGTTGGATGCAAACCTTGTGTTGAATCCACATACACAATTTTCACATGGTATCAAAATCTAGATTTTATCTTGGGAAGCCCATCGTTAGTCCACCTGACAGGACCCGAAGTTAAGATATTGGGTCTGCATGAAAGGAGGCATGTTAAGCCAATTGACAGGACCTGACATTCATAGTGGGCCTGCACATGACATGGTATCAAAGCTCAGATTTTGTCCTTGGAAACCCATTGTTAACCCACTTGACAGGACTCGAAGTTGATACTGGGCCTACAAGTAAGGGGGCATCGTGATAAAACCCGACATTCATAGCGGGCCTGCATGTGAGGGGGTGTGTTAAGTGGGAAAATTCCACATCAAGTATAAAAGTAAGAAGCTTGTAGGTTAAATACAAGAAAGGCCACTCCACCTATTGCTAATTGATTTTAGGTTGGATGTAAGCCTTGTGTTGAGTCATATGCACAACTTTTCCACAACTTTCACAAAAACTTTGTGCTTGAAAGAATCCAATAAGTGGTTGGAAAGTTGCATAAGCATACATTGCTGGAAAAAGCCACATTACGAATTTACTAGCCCCATGTGAAATTTGTGGGTCTTGGCCTATTTAAATGAGTAAATCACCCATGTAAATCCACAGGATAGACAAAGGTAGGCAAACTAAGATGAGGCAGAAAATAGCTGTGTACGTCTGACTCCCTAACTTTTCATATTGCTAAGCTCTATAAGCTTGTCCACATAGATTGTCTAGTGCACTTGCTGTTCCATATTGTTAGGCATGCATGTCACATAAACATCCATATAATTCCATAAGAGATTAGGTAAAATCTGAAGTAATTGGTTCAAAAGTTTTAGAATCTCCAAGTCTCATGTACAGTTTTCAACTATTCAATTTGCTAGGAGTCACCAAAGAATTAATGTCCTTTGCTGGTGAAGGGTTGAAAATTATTTGATGTATCAATATTAACGCCAACCAATCTAAAATATTTGCCATTTTCAACATGATGAACTTGCAATGACTTGATATATATTGAATCATGGTTTTAGCAAAAACGTCTGATCATTACTCTCAAAAAAAGAATATAGAGGCAACAACCATAACAAGATTATAGAAGACAATAGGTATCAAACTAATAGGGGCTTAAAATTTGAGTTTATCCATCTAGAGATCTACTGTAGTGGAATCCCTGTAATATCAAACTTAACGTCCTTAGACCACTTAAGAAGCTATGAAACATTTATATTTCTCATCCTCTTTTCATGCCCATATTGAACATTTGTCAAACATCTTGCATTCATACAGATATGACTTTAAAATCCCATGAAACTTAATCAGTCAATTTCAGAATGAACTTAAATCCATGACAAGGAAATGCCAAACCTTATTTACACCTTACACATTATTTTTTACTACATCCAACACCTTCCATAATTTTCACTCCCATCAATCCCCTCTAATTTGAAATCCACAAAAAATCCCAAATTACTAACATAAGTTAGGGACCAAATAGAGAGTTTAACCATTAATTTTTGAATTTTTTTATAGATTTTAAATTATAGAAGGTGTTAACCGAAAATAAAAATGCTTGAGGGGGTTGATCACAAGAAAAAATAATGTGCAGGTGCACATAGGAGTTTGGCCAAAATGAAATGCAGGGTGCACAACCTGAACTAATCAAATAGAGATAAGAAAACATATACCCGTGAAAGAATCCTCAATGGGAATGATGGCAAGAATAAAGAGGGAAAACAAAACACTTACAAGAAGACAGAATCCAGTGACAGCACAGAAGGAAATGACAATGGCAGAGCTGGACAGTGATAGTTCACCAAGGTGACCCACCATTATCACGGATATAACTTGCAAAAAATACTGCGAAAAATTAACAGCAACCATTGGCCCTGCTAAGTATCCAATTCTGTTCACTTCCTGAACAAACTCATCCAATTTAACAAGCCCCAAACCTTCCCTCCTCTCTTCATCAGCTAACAAACCCCTTTTCATGCTGTCTTGTTCCGCGAACGGAGAAGTGTTCCCAGCCATTAATTTCCTCGCTCACCCTCTTCAGGAAGTCGAAGTTTCGAAACGTGGGTACTGCTGAACAGGAAGTCTAATGTTGTTTACTTATTCCATGGGGTTTACCTTCATTCGGCATTCGGCGTTGGGTTTCGGTGTTGAATGAGCTCGCTGTTTGCATTGTAATTCTTTAATTGATGTGTTAGGTGCACTTTTGTGTACTCTTTAACTTTACAGTAAGTATACGAGGTTGAAACTAGTTGGAAGTTGGAGATTTTGATGTCAGATAGGCATAAAATGAAGTTGGCAGTAACTACATAAGAAGTCTGAGTATGAAAAATGAAATGAATGAAGAAAGGTTGAAAAATACAAAAATCCACACTTGTTTTCTAGAAAATGGTCTGGATACTTTTTTTTTTTAATTATATTTTTGTATAATTTTATGTATTATTTATATAATTAATTTTATTTATTTATTTAATATTTATAATATTAAATGTATTTATTTATTTAATAATATATAAAATTTATATAAAGAGATTCTTCTATATATTACTTCTCTTTTTATTTTTATCACTATATTCTTCATTTCAAAATCTAAGTTTTTGATGTACTTGCATTTTCGTAACCCAATACCGCTACACTTATATTAAAATGCATCATCCAACGCTAAAACTGAGATTTGAATTCCTAAACCCCAAATTGTAAACGTTCCGAGTTATTGACATTTTCATCCAAAAATCCTTCTGAATGTATTTAATGTATATTTACAAGAAGTTTTGGACTTTTCGATGGGAACAAAATGGACCATTTATGGATGACAGCAAGTTGAGTAGGACTCGTAGGAGAAAGCGAACGCGTTACACTCACACAAAACCAGCCAAACTTTTGGCTTTGGTGATATAGGTCCTGATCAGTGGACCAACTTTGTTGGAAAATGTTTTAACGAGAAAATGTTTTAACGAGAAAATACTTAAAAGAAAGTATTGTATAGAAAAATGATAAATGTTATATAAAGATTTAATAAATTTTATAATAAAATTTTATTAAATATTAATTTTAATATAATAAATTTTATTTAAAAAATTAATATAATAAAAATCAATAAAAATTTTATCAAATAGATTTTATGTAAAAAAATTAAAGAAAACCTTTTAAATTATATACAAAAAGTTTATAAATTAAAAATTATATTAAAAAAATTAAAATATTACTTTTATTTTTTATTGTTAAATTAATATGTAATAATATATAAATAATTTACTAAAAGGAAAAGTTTTTCCAACCAAACACTCCAAAATGTTAGTCGGATCCCTGAATTTAGTTCATTTCCTACATTTGATCCTCAAACTTAGTTCACCAATGGATGTGGACAATGGCTATCCAGCTCCAGCCAACCCGAAGCAAATTTTTGCATGGTCGGCTGCCTCTGTCATTAGCCAAAAATGCTCTTATTTTTTTCTCAATCAGTGCTTCTTCATTACAACAGCAAAACAGAAACATATATTTATTTTTTTTCTATTACGACAACAGTAATGACTTGGATTCACTGTTTGGTTTTGGCAGCAGCATCCCCTTTAGGCTTTTAACTCAATACTCTATTTTCCACTGAAGTGCTTCCTTCAAAGAGTCTTTCCCGGGCTTTACTTGCCTGCAGTTTTTGACATTTTCAAAGCAGATACAATGTCAATATATAAAAGAGAAAAAAGGTGAAGCTATAAAGAAAGGGTTTTTCAAAATCCATAAAGAAAAAGCACTTTTAAGGATCTGCGCGTCGAGTACATATAGCTTTAGTAGGATGAATAATTAGTAGTATGAGGAATTTGATTGTCATTTTCTTTGACATTTTTAAGTGCTTTTTTTTTAAATAGAAAAACAACTCATTTTAAGGGCAGAAAAAAGATTGTAACTTCCTATAATTGGCTAATATCTCTCATCCTTCTGAAATCTTTAGTTACACGCTTTAATGTTTAAACTTGAGATTTTTAATTTAGATTTAAGAGTTAAAAGCTCTCACTAGTTGAGAGTCATGAGAGGCAAAAAGGAATGAAACCTGAGAGGATAAAAAAAAAAAAAACCAGTTTTGGACAATAAGAAAGTTTTTAAGAGGATTGAGAATGCATGACAGACCTGCTTTTGAATGTATTTAATGTATATTTACAAGAGGTTTTGGACTTTTCGATGGGAACAAAATGGACCATTTATGGAAGACAGAAAGTTGAGTAGGAGAAAGCAAACACGTTGCACTCACACAAAACCCGCCAAACTTTTGGCTTTGGTGATAGAGGTCCTGATCAGTGGACCAACTTTGTTGGAAAATGTT